GACTCAGATTCTTGCTAAACTTTACGATCTCAAATTAAATACCATATAGGACCTGTATCGGGCTCCGGAACCAACTACGGGCCCGATACCATCAAATTCCAAACACATTTCATTTTCAAAAACTCATATTTATTCTAGAAAAAAATATTCTTTAAAAATTTATTTCTCGGGCTTGGGATCTCGGAATTCGATTCCAGGCATACACCCAAGTCCCATATTTTTAATTTTATTTTAAAAGCAAAATTCATCATTTTTTCATAGATTTTCACAAAATAGCTTTCTGGATACACGTCCGGACTGTGCACGCACATCGAGGTGAGACTAAAAGCGGTTTTTAAGGCCTTGGAACACAGAATTCACCTGCAAAACATGTGATGACCATCACTTTTGGGTCATCACAAATCTAACCCATGATTTATATGTGCAGGGAACAGTGAGATGAAGCAGACTGCAATGGTTCATAAACAGTGGATGCTAAAAGCACATGACTAGAAACACCATGGATTGTCTCTCACTGAAAGCCCGATAGAAAAGGGAATGTATCTTGTGTAAATAAAAAAAAGATACATTCTCGGTGTTGGAAAAGTTGGAAAGTCTCTGTCACACTCGATTGAGAATGTGTTCTATATGGATTGCCTAAAGTACAGTCTCTTGAGTGTTTCTCAAATCTGTGATAAAGGGGGCAAAGTAGAGTTCTTATAAAAAATGCGCACAGTTACCTATCTGGTAACTGGTGAAGTGGTCTTAGTCGCCAAAAGAACAAGAACATCTACTTAGCTAACCTTAAATCCCTACAAGATGGTGATATGAGCTGCTTAAAGGCAGTTGACAATGATGCAAAACCATGGCATAAAAGATTGGGACATGCAAGGTTCTCACTTCTGAATGAACTGACTCAGAAGAACCTGGTTCGTGGGCTACCAAATTCAAGATCCATCCGGACACTGTTTGTTAGAGCAAAGAAAGAGACTTTTGAGGTATTTGCGACACTTGTCAGGAAGGTCCAAGTGAAGATGGAACTGAAGAAAGCACGTATCAGATCTGTCCACGGGATAAAATATGTCAACGCCAAAATTTGATAAGTCTTGTAATGAAAATGGGATCACTCACAACTTCTCAGCACCAAGGACTCCACAGCTAAATGGTGTTGTTGAAAGGAAGAACAGAACTCTGGGAGACATGGAATGGACAATGCTCCTCGACAAGGGAATTGCCAAAAATTCTGGGCAGAAGCAACAAACACTGCTTACTACTTGGTGAACAGGTGTATGATCAGGTCCCTCCTAAATAAAATCCCCCAAGAGCTGCTCAACGGAAGAAAATCGAAGATAACTCATCTAAGAATCTTTGGATGCAAATGCTATGATCTCAACAACGGAAAGGACCAGCTTGGGAAGTCTTATGCAAAAAATGATGAAGGAATCCTTCTGAGATATTTCTCTTAAAGCAAAAGTCTACAAAGTCTGCAACAAAAGAGCACAATGTGTGGAAGAAGGTGGTCATGAGCTATTCAACAAAACTCCTTCTTCTAACAAGGAGGAAATAGTAACGATCAAGATAATGAACCTCTTTTTTGGTTCCTGGGAAATATCTGATGTTTCAAATGGCAAAGGTAATATGATAAGTCAGATGAAGGAGACAGGTAAAGAAAATGCAACATCTTCTTTCACTTCTCAAGAGGAACCTCGTACTTCAATTATTATCAACTGAAGCTGAAGGAAGAGTTGGAGATGTAGTGCAAGAGACTCCATAAGTAGGAAAACAAGGAGTGCATGGAAATCCACTTAATTTACTCAGTTCTCTTACTAATTAAAATTTCAGTTCCCATGAGGAAATGCATCATTTTGAAGGAAATAAAGTTATCTCGTGGTTAGGAAGAGCACATCTGGAATGATTCATTCTATTGGACCATCTCACGGGGTACGAGGAAATACAACCCAGCGGTTCCCTCAAACAGCTGAAACAGACGCTCTTAACATGAAAAGAACCTGGTCCAGCAAAAGGACCAAGCTCGTTAATGTTAGATACATTTGTCTCAGAATAATAAAAAAGGGGGCATATCTGTATGAGATTTTGCTGCACAAGAACATAAAATTGCAGATATCTTCTCAAAAGGCATTGAGCGAGGAATATTTTGAAAGAAATAGGGTAAATCTGGGGCTGTTGAAGCTTAATTGAGAACCTGATACCTCATCAATTGGCTATGAAAATTTTCTTCAGGTAAAACTATCTAAAGTGTTTTCTGGCCAAGCCTAACTCACATTGATACCGTTGCAGGTAAACACGTATGACGATCATAGAAGCTAAAGGTACAATGATGAACTGCGAAAGAAGAGCTGCTAAAATCTTTTTTTTAAAAATCGTTCGAGCATCAGGTTCCTATACCACATGTTAGTAGTAATGTGTTGTTTTGCATGCTTTCTCAAAAAGGTTAACAAAATTAATTCAACTACCATATCATCCAACTTTTCAAAGTCTGCATGTCATGTCTTGTCTTTCAAATCCCTTCACCTCCTCTGCATGATAACGTATTCCCACAAACCTACCGCCGTTTTCAAGACTCTTCAGAACCCGTTTCTCTCTCTTATCATCATTAGCCCTTCTTCCCATAAAACTCTCTTTCTCCCTCACAACAAGTCATAAACCTTCATCTATTTTATATCTCTGTGGTCTTCTCTTCACTTCTCTTTCACTCAACTTACCTACCAAATCCTCTTATAATGGCAATCGAACGATCGATTCCTTCTCCTACCATTAACACCACTACCACTTCCCTATCATCCTTAAAGTTATCTCTAGAAATTCACTCTTTCTAATGCTACTGCACCCACACCTGTTTCCTCCTCATTTCCTATTATTTTTCCTTTTCTGTCAAATTCTGTTTCCCTTCCATATGTTGAAAACCCCATGTCTCCTCATTCCTCTGATCTCACTAAAGAACACTTATGAAGTGTTACCTCTCAGGTGTTAGAGGTCTCTGAGGATGATCCTGATCAGTATCTGAACTCCTCCATTTTGGGCTCAGTGGCTCTCACATAGTCACCAGAAAAGGAATCAGCGCACAATATCATGGCTATCGTTGCTGAGAGTTTGTTGAATGAATGAGCCTTTCTCTTGTCTGAATATCAAGGGGAAGAAACTCCATTCCTAGGTGATAAAAAAACCATGGTACTCTTCGTGTCTTGAATGCATGAAACTGTCCCAGAAAAACCTACTAGAGGACCTGATTCTCTTCCAGATAAATCCACTCCAGAACCGCTTGATTATCCTAAGTCCTTAGAATCCTCTTCCAAGTCACCCTCTATCAGGTTGCAACAGAAAGAGGGCTTCGAGTCTACCTTGCATAAAAGTAAAAGGAGCGTCAAGACAAGGAAGAAGAGGTTGATGAAATAAGGGGAATTTGTGACTGACAAAAGCATTCTAGTGGGTGAGGTTGACAAAGATGCTCTAAAGGAACTCAGTCCCTTAGTAGAACGATCTATAAAAATCCAGAAGTCGGTGGATAAAGCTTCTGATAAAGCTTTTGAAAAATAAAGTGGAACATCTGTGAAGGGTAGCAGTAAGTCTAAGAAGAGTATAGTTGAGCAAGCTATGTCTGAAGGGTGGGGCTTGTAAGTTGGAAAGGGAAGTATGTTGAAGGATCTAGTAAACAAAAATGGGAAACTGTAGGGGAACCTGGTTCTCTAAAGACCATACCTAGTGACAGTGGTCTTTGGCAGGAGAGATTGAGGACTCAGAAAGTCTTGTGGGGTCGTATGTTTGATCCAGCAATTTCAGAGATGGTAGGTATGAGGCAAATTCTGGAGATAGTGGTTATTCAGCAATGGGAGCACTTGTTTCAGGAGAACGTGCCTACGGTGTACGAAGATGCGGTACAAAATTTCTACGCATCTCTCTTCACTGTTGAAGAGGATCACATATGTGTGCTAGTAAATGGAGTGGACATTGTACTTGACGCTTTAGCATTGGGGAAGGTACTCCAAATTCCATGTGAAGGAATGTCCTCAGTCAAAGGTGTCTATGGAGCCAACTTTAGGAGAGCTATCATGAAAGAGCAAGCTATTCAGCAGGGGGAACAGGTGCATAAGAAGGTACTACTTCCTGAGTATCAGCTTCTCTTTGAGCTGGTTAATAAAGTGCTTTTACCTCGTTCTAAGAGCCGGTCTATTGCTACAAAGTCTGATCTGGTCTTAATGGAGGCTCTTGATGAGTTTGTCCCAATCAATCTACCAGCAATCATGATAGATCATATGCAAAAGGTGGCAAACTTTAAAGGTGGGAATATGGGCTTCCATATGACTTTCTCCTCACTCAAGTGTTTAAGTTTTACAAGGTTCCTTTGGGTAATTTTGAAGTGGGCACACGCAAGCAAACCTTCTCTAAAACCACTCTAGAAGAATGTGAGTGCATAGAAAAAGTTGGTGGAAGCATCTCGACCATTTCTCAGCTGATCAATGCTCAAAATGCTGCTTCTGAAGAGATCAGAAGGTTGAGGGCTCAAAATCCCATACTAGAAACTCAACTCAGTCAAGCGGTTAAAGGACCTGGTTCCGTTAATGAAGAAGTTGCCCGCCTGATAAAGAAAAATGATAAGCTTCGTGCAAAACTGCTTGAAGAGCAGCTGTCTGCAAGTGCTCGACTGGACCTTAGGGCTGCTTATCGGGCGGATTGGGCGATTATTTACTCTTAGTAGTTTGGCTTAACAGTTATTGACTTTTAAATGTATTAATATGTTAGCCACTCGATAAGATATCGGGCGGATTGGTATCGGTTTAGCTCTTATCGGGTTGTTATCAAGCGGTTTATCGACCTAACATACATATTCACAAAATTTTGTTTTCCCTGTTGGACATGAAATAGCTGAATTGATTATAGAGCATGAATTGGAAGCAATAAGAGGTATGTTTAACAACATAAAAGCAATTGAGAACACTATTTCTTATTCTCCTTTAACATTTGTTAATGTCGATGAAACACCTTCAAAAGCGGAACAAGACAAAAGAAAGCTAAGTAGCAGTTGGCCTTTCATTTCAAAAGTAAAATCAACTAGAACTAGGTATTGCCGTACTGATTACTGAAGTCATTCAAATCTCAAATTCAAATGTTTATCCAGCAGAAAAGGTTCATTACCACTAGAAGAGAAAAAGGGAAACAAATCCAGCATAGTATATTAGTAAGTATAGCTTCATCTCATATCATAGCAGCCCTTAAAACCCCTGATCAATCAAAACACTAACTATTTGCAAAGATAGCACAGACCATACACATTTGCAAGATTGCCAGCACCTAACTTCTTGTGCATCCAGTCAATGATATCCTGAGCAATTTCTTCATGCTCGGGCTCAAACAGAAGATCATGCAAGAACCCATCATAAAGTTTAATGTCCTTGAACTCAGAAGCGGCCTCATTGTACAGATCTTAAGAAGCCAACGGATCAGTGACTCTATCAACAGTTCCACGGAGGACTAGAGGATCAGAATACTTGGCCACCAGTGTTGCAGGATCCCTTGAAACAAGAATTCCCCTTTTGTGAGAACCTTTGAACTGGTACCTAGGTGCAACAATGAAAAAATTGGTGTCACGGCCTGCATTTGGATGACGAACATAATATTAAAGAGCGCGTGCAAAGAAGACATTGCTGATCATCAGAAAATCATCTAAAGCAGACAAACATAATCATATAATTTCATCAAAAGTAGGACCTTACAGTAATAATAGGATTTGCAGGTTTCACACGCAATGTTGGTGAAGTCAATATGCAGATTTAGTCAGACTATGATAGCATGTACAAATATATGCGAAAAACTTCACTTACTTAGCAATAGATAAGCATTTAAAATGGGCAGTCACAGAACAAATTATTTGAAAGAGCAGCATTATTTCTATGCACCTCTAATTCCAAATAAAACACGGAATAGACAGAGTAGCTGATGAATAATCTTACCAAATATATTAACACTACACGTCAATTACGGAAGGGTCTTTTCCATTGCTTGCTAAATCTGAAGAAAAAAATTAAAATAATGAGTCGTGCGATAAATATAAGCATATCAACAACACTTATATACAACAAATATAGTAACAATATTATTACCTTGTTCAAGCTGCTCGATTTTATCAAGATCTTCCTCAACACTAATGTGTTGTTTTAATTTTTCATTTCGAAGCCAATCTTGAAGACACACTAGAGCTTGCACCAATTTAGGAGTTAATGAACTCCTAAATGAATCAAGAAGACGTCCTCCTGTACTAAATGCACATTCGGATGCCACACTTGAAACCGGAACAACTAATACATCACAAGCCATCTCCACAAGAATAGAAAATCTAGCTGAGTTCAATTTTTACCAAAGAAGAATATCAAATTCTTTAGTGTCATCCTCAGTTTCTTCACCTAAATATTTATCTAACTCTGTTCTAGTATCAACACCTCCACTCCCACTTTTATATTTTCTTATATCTTGCATGAGTGATTCTAAAAGTCCTATATTTTGGGTGCTTGCTTGATTGCCAGAAAGTCCGGAAGTCGAAGTGTCCAATAAAGAACAATCTGAAGATGAAGCAAGCACAACACCTTTTGAGCTGGACTTTACATACTCACTGAATAATGAAGTCATGTACTTCGTCACTTCTGCTTGTATAGTTGCACCCAGATCTATACCAAACATCTTTACAAGTGCAAAGCCAACTTATTCGATCTTATAACGTGGATCCAAAATACATGAAGTAAAAATTATCTTGTTCATTTTCCCTGGATCACCCCAATACTTATCAAACTTTTCTTTCATATTCTTTGCCATTTCACTTAAAATTATATCTTCATTTTCTATCAATTGCTTCAAATAGACAGCAACTGCGCAAATTTCAAGAAAATGAATATTCGATGTAACATAACGTAATCCAGATATCTTCAAAGTAAGAAGATAGAAGATTTCAAGAAACTTTGTAATTCTTTTTATATTCTCCCAATCACTACTCAAAAGTTCACCTGTAGGAATTCCAACATCAATATAAGAATGCTCAAGATAATGTCTCAAGCCAATTTCACTAGAAGCATAATGTGAAAATGCACTTTCAAATTCAATAGCCCTGCACAACATCAAGTAGGTGGAATTCCATCTAGTTGGAACATCTAAGCATAAAGTTTTCTTAGAATTGAGTTGTTCAGCATCAAAACATTCTTGAAACCTCTTCAACCTCGCAGGAGACTGCCTAACATATCTCACTGCATGCCTAACATGTTCAATAGACACTAAAGATTCTTTTAAACCATCCTGGACCACAAGATTCATGATGTGAGCCATACATCTCACGTGAAGGTGAGTACCATTCATCAAATTAGTTCCCATTTTTGTTAATTGCTTAGATAATTCTTTTACTGTCACATCATTTGAGCTTGCATTATCAACTGTGATAGTGAAAATCTTATTTACCCCCACTCACGTAAGCACCTACCAATACTGTTTGCCATATCTTCGCCTTTATGACTAACAATAGGACAAAAATTAATTATCCTCTTATGCATATTGCATTCACTATCAATCAAATGGGCAGTGATACACATGCAATTGATTCTTTGTATAGAAGTCCAGGTATCAGTGGTAATACATACTCTTTGTTTTGTTTCTATAAAAAACCTCTTCAACTTTTGCTTTTCTTCATTAAAAAGATCAAAACAATCCCTAGTTACAGTACTACGAGAAGGGATACGAAAATAAGGTTGCACCACTTTCATAAAGTCTCTAAAACCTTCTTTCTTAACAAAGCTAAAAGGAAGCCCATCAACTATTACCATACGACATAATTCCTTCCTGCATTCTTCTTGTTCAAATTTTCAAGTAACAACTGCTATGTCACCCTGACTACCCCCCGGAGCAGATTGAAAGCCTAAATTTGATTGTTTATTATCAACAATAGCAGGGCGTTTAGGACACTTAAGCATATGAGAAAGAAGTGTTGACGTACCGTCATTGGTCTTAAATAAATACTCAATTAAGCAATAGTCACATTTTGCTTTTGTACTCCCTTCAGAAGTAATAATTTCTGTAAAATGATCCCACACAACAGACCTTTTTCTCCTTTTTTTGGTTATATTTGACTCCGTTGTTTGAGCTTGACTTGTTGCATTTGAATTAGAAGCTCCACTTTCACCCATCATCGCCTTATCATTTTGTGTATTTTCAGCCATGTATGAGTCACTGCAACAAGAAAATAAAAGGAATGAGAATAAAGATATCAAGTTATAAACAATACTAGCGCTTCGTTTGTCCATACAAAAGGTCACCAATTGTATCATGGCGCTATCAGCTACTTCAAAGGAACATGTGTGGTATAGATGCGCTGCAAGTGGAAATCAATTGTATCATAAGAAAACAAAACTGTTTAGAGCTTACAGTTGGAGGGGTGTAAAATTGTCATGAGCTTACAGTTGCACCACCTTCATTGAACTTGTTTAGAGAGAACATCACAACTTTGGTTGATGAACCAGCTTGTTGCTAACCTTATCATTTGTGGCAGTTTCAATTATGCAACTTATAGGTTAGTTTTCCATTCAATTCTTGGTTCACGATATTGTGAAATTAATCATATAGTGGTACTATTGATCCCAAAATTCTACTCTTTACAATAGAAAGTAGTACAAGCTTCTTTGAAAGAAAATCTTTTTGTTACACTCCATATAACAACCATGTACATTAATATATTCTGCAGGCTGTCTGTCCAAGTAGTAACCATAACTTTCAACATCTCTAAATCTTTATCATCGCCATTTTCTTGTCAACCCCTGCTAAACCACTAGATAAATTACTACTATCTTCTTTCTACTGTAAACATATCTGTTTAACAAAACCGGCAAATTCAACAACAAATAGTGAGAAAAAACTGTAAATTGAAAAGAAAAAAATGACTAGCAAAATTCTGATAATGTTGATTTTGATGGGAATCATAAGTAAGAGTACCTGGATAAGAACTTAAGAAGATAAGAAACCGTGACTCGCGAGAGGGAGAGACGAGACGGCGAGAGGGAGACCGGTGGCTGGTGAAAGTCGATGACGATGAGGACTATTTGCCGGTGGGCGGTGGCTGATGGTTCTGGTTTAGGTATTAGGGTTTCTCTGGAATTAGGAATTAGGAATGGGTTATACTTTAGAGACAGAACAGAGAGAGACGGGTTTGTTTTTTTTATTCAAGTTCAAGGGTTTTAGTTTTTTTTATATTTAATATATATAAAATAAAATATTATATAT